TCGATGTCCTTATCTGCCAAATAGGGATATGACCCGCCTGGTGAGGCTGTCACGGAGAGTAAACGGGATAACACGCGTGTGGCTCCCGGCATAGTGGAGGACCACTTGCTGCTTCATAAATACCACTCATTATTGATATGAAAGGGAGTGGCTTCCTGTTGGCAATATCTTGTGCCATTGATCTCTGCTCCTGAAACCAAGAAGACTTGAAAAGAAGCCATTAGGAGGAAGGCAGCCACAGGTCTTACGGGGAAGGCATTCCAGGGCAGACTGAAGGGACAAAGGCCGTCCACATCCGCAGCCAGGCGGAGAATTGGGTCAGGAGAAAAGCTCCAACTGCAGCCTGAGGGCTCTGGCGCTTGACTTGCAGAAACGTCCTGTGTTCATAAGAGTCTCTTCTGGGGCTTGTTTGGTCAACCTGCCGTAGAGCCAGAGAGCTGCAAGGGATGCTTCTCTGGGCTGACTCTTATTAGCATGCAGCGCTTGACAGAGTGGAGCAGCTCCCGCTTTCGGCAGGTGACAGGAGGCAATCACGAGGGTTATTCATTGGACACTTAAAACCAATGTAATTGAAGTAGTGTCGTCTCCCGGTGTCCCCTACAAATCAGATTTCTCTGGGGACTTATGAGCCGCAGCCCGTGAGAACAGAAGACTAGGGGGCAGGGGGCCGGGTAGAGGTCAGATGGGCCCATGTGGAAGAGCCCGTGACCACACAGGCATGGGCTTTAGCATCTGGGTTCTGAGCTTGCCTAGGTGTTAGGTCCGTTCCCGGCCCTGAGGAACAGGAAGAGTCACCGAAACATCATCAGGTGGGATTGGTGGGTTCTCCAGAGATCCCTCCCTCCGTGACGTAAGAGGGGCCCGGAACCACCCAAGGAGACGCTGTCATCATCTAGCACTTAGAGTCTGAGGCAGGCTCCTCCAGGGAGGGAAATTACACACACTCCCTTCGTCAGTGGTTCCATGCAAATCCGGCTGCAGCCCACCGCCCTTCTTCATAACTTCCTCTGTAGGTCCAGCCTTCGCACCCCTCAATCGTGTCCTGTGTCCCCCTGCCCCTCTTCCAGCTCTCTGTGCCCCTAAGAACCCAGCTGAGACGCCTCTGGGGCCTCTTATTCCCTCCTCTGCTCCTTGTGTTTCTCAGCCTCGGCCTGGGTTTACTGCATAACCAACTGAGGAGAGATTGGATCTTAACGGTGATGGCGAGACTCAGAAGCAGAGGGGAAGCATTCCTCTGGTACAGCTTATGAAGACAAAAATCCCCATCTCCTTCCCCTCCGTTGCCCGTGTACTTCGGTGTGGATGAATACGTTATGACCCGAGCTGAAGGGGCAAGTGGGTTATCTGTTCTTACTCTCCCGTGACTCACTCAGGCCCATATAATACCAAGACTAGCGCCTTTAATGCTACGCAAAATCAGCCGTTCTCTGGTGCAAGGGCTATGACCCAACAGGGCGCCAGCCTCCCTTGTTGGGGGGAGTTCTTGAGTACCAGGAAGGCAGCAGGGGGTCCTCCTGGCAATGACTGAGGGGCACTCCTGCCTGACTTGTGAAACTCGCAGCAGCAGTTACAGGAGAAAGACGGAGCTCTCTACCCGTAAACAGTGACAGTCTCAGAACCCCAGAGGCAGTTCTCCCTTGTCCTGCAGGGCCGCTGTGAGTCGGCATCGACTATCCGATGGCAGCGAGTCTGGTTTTGGCTGGCAGCAGGCTGCGACATCACTTCATAGCTGTCCTCTGATAGGGGCCATAACAGACGGGCCTGCAGAGAATACGGAAGAACCTCAACCCCCTAAAAGAGAAGCAAAAGTCAGAAACACTGCAGGACTAGTTGAGACTGGAAGCATCCCCGGTGATCATCCTGCGAGAGTCCTTAAACTTGGAACTGAAGCGAGTCTCCGAGGTCACCCTCTAGAAGCTTACAGTTTGGCTCAAAAAAACGAAGAGTACCACCCATGAGTCCTGTGCCCCCCACCTCCCCAAATCACGTCTCTGAGATCAAATGTTAATCTTTACCTTCAGAGGAAGACGAGAGTGTCCATGGGCAGGGAGACCGAGTGGACACGAGTGAGCAGGAGAGAGAGCATGAGAAGCAGGGGACCGGTGTCAAGGAGCAGCTGTGTAGAAGCTAGGAAGGAGCCCTAATGTGCTGTGTAAACCTGCACGCACACACAATCAAATGCTACTTTTAAAGAAAGACGTAACTTCCCTCCGTCGCCAGAGCCCAACACGGCTTAGGAACAGCACCTGCTGTGGACTGTCAGTGTGGGGAGGACCCGTAGGGTCAACCTATCCATGCCTCCAGCAGGTCCTGCTTCTCCCCAGGAGAGCAGCCGATTCCATCTTTAGAGCAGGTGGGAGGAGAGTGTCCGCTCTGGGGCGAACGGGTGCCCGATCCCAAACGGAATGAGCTGGTGACCTTGGTGAGTCTGTGCCCTCTGCTGAGCCTCAGTTTCCTCTGTGCAAATGGAGGTCACAGCATCCTGGGTTGGCGGTGAAGATTGACTGCCATGTGAGTGTAGCTGCCGGCCCGTGTTGGACCCACAGAGAAGGCACAAGGCATGCTTGGCCTTGTTATGCCCCTCCAGCTTTGAGGACATCTGTCTCTCGTGTTTTCCTCTGAAGGAACCCTGGGGGTGGTGTGACGGTTAAGGGCTGCGCTACCAACCGAAAGGTCGTCAACTCAAACCCACCAGCGACTCCACAGGAGAAGGAGATCGCATTCGGCTTCCATCGAGACTCCACCTTGGACGCCTTCTGGGGCAGCTCGACTCTGCCCTGTCGGGTCACCAGAGTCGAGTCCACTCAGCGGCACTGGCTATGAGTTTCGGTGGCGGAAGGTGGGGGTGGGGGGAGGCTAGTTGGTCCCTTTGTTGGTCTTTGGCTTGTTTCCCAGTAGCTTTTCCTCCTGTGAGATAATGTTACAGTTCCTAGCCCACATCCGACCGATGACCTTTTGCTGTGACCTTTTGCTAGCATGCCAGGGCCCCCACAGCGGACTCTGTACTAATTTTCCCTCTCGCCCCACCTCAGTGCTTTGCAAGCCCTGTGTGCTTCTGGCGCTGCATGCCACGGTGTGAGTTCAGTCTCTACAGGGTCACATCAGGCTCTGCAGATGGAAGGAGCCTGTCCACTGTGTTGGGACGCCTTCCACGTGGTCATCAGCCTGACGTGACACCAGGCCATCCCTCCGGAGCCTCCTCCTCCTCCTCCTCGTGCTGCCCTTGACCTTGTGCTGTCTTCGCTGTTGTGGTGATCCGCTGGCAATGGGGGGAGGGCGTGGCTGTCTTGGTCTCAGGCTTCCTGGGCACTGAGCACCGGATGCTACAAAGCTGTAGATCTCTTAGACGGTATAACCGATTAACCGCATAATGAATTAACCCCTTCAGTAGCTCCTGTCGTAGACCTGTGTGTGCTGGAGGGTGGGGGTGGGGGCAGGTGAGGACCCTGCAGAAAGAGAAGTGCTGTGTGGGGTGAAGCAGCGCTTTCTTCCCTGTTCGTTCGTCTCCGTTAATGCACTCGCCTGGCACACTCCTCCACCACCGGCTCTATACCACGTACTGTGCCAGCCACCTCTGGACCTCTGAGGTGGCAAATGCAGACAGCTCTCCCCTGCCCAGAGGATGGCCTGGAAGCCAATGCTATGAAATGCACTCCCCGAGTGGCGAATGGAGGGGAGCGGGGTGGCTCTAGGACAGGAGCCCCGATGGTCCAACCAGGCCACCAATAGCCCAACACATGCCACTGGTTTACTGATTGGCGACACCCAGGGTGCAGATTGCCCGCTCGGGCCAGCTGATTCAGATCCCAGAGAGGTGGCTCTGTTCACACTCCTGGCATCTCTGGGGACTCCCTGCTCCGATCACCTCTGTCGACCTCCCTCCATCTTGCACTTCTCCCGCTGAGCCTAAGCCCCGTGAAACCCGTGGGCAGGCTCAGCTCATTTTCAGTCGTAGTATGTTAGCAGCTCTTCTTGCTTGGAACGTATGCATCTGTGGGCTACAAGGTGCCCCCCAAGTCCCTCCCGGCCCTGGGGTTCTTGATCAGAAACCCCTTGCTCTTCTCCCTACCATCGGTCCGTTCCCATAGAACTTTGCAAAGAACTCTGGGAGACAGGTGAGGCTTTGGTAAGGCGGGGTGGGCTTGCACGGCCCCTTCCACGGGGAGACAACCCCCTGCCCTGGCGGTCCTCGCCTCTGAGAGTGTTTAAAGCTGCTTTAAGGTGTTTTAAATTTTCACTGAGCCCAGGCTAGGGGGACTTCCCGCAGCCTACTTGAATTGTAGATCACCTCCTCCATCCTGGCTGCTACCATCCCACCCCACCCCCAATTTCACATCCAATTAACACCCTCCTCCCTTGCCCACTTCCAAAGTCATTAGTGAGGAGGAGGCAGGGTGGCCTGGACCCCAAAGAGATTTCCTATCACCTCTGCTCATCAACTCCCCACACCCCGTGCTAAACCGTTAGTCACTCGCCGCATCTCAGACAGGACTGTTCCTCTGGCTCTCTCTGGCCTCGTCCCAGCTCCTTGTTTCCAGGGTCCCGGAGAGCACTTCGTCTGTCCTGTGGTCCTATGCTTCTGCTTTTTTCCACCTCCCATCAAAGGAAATGGCCCATCCTGGAGAACCCCACCTGGGCCTCCCAGATGCTGAGGGAGGGGGATACCTCACTGTTCAGACACCCCCTCCCTTGCTGTAGGGAAGGAGAGGTTTGCAGCCTTCGAGGGGAAGCTGGGCTCCCTGGGACCCTTTGGGAACACAGAGCTGCTCACCCTCGCTGGTGTGGGCCGGGAGCCTCAGGCTTCCTAACACACCTCTCTTAATGATGCCCAGGCCCTGGAGGGGTGTCCTAGCTGGGTGGGTGGGCCAGGGCTCAGAGCCTCAGAGGGTAAGCCAGTGGGCAAGGGGCGTGATGACCTCTCTCCAGCCTGACAGCCTTGGCCTCACTGAGTGGCTCCGCTGGGCAGGAGGCTCATCAGAGCTTGTTGTGGCCTCTTTCAGCCCGAGGAGTTGCAGAAAGAACACCCAGCTTCATGAGTCCCCAGGGCACTTCCAGCAGCCAGATGGTGCTTCGGGGCACGGACCTCCTGCTGGAGTGCATCGCCTCTGGGGTGTACGTACGGACGACGCGCTGTCTGGGAGATGAGGGGTGGGCAGTTGTCCCTGCCACATTTGGGGGCCGGAGGTAGGGGGGCCATGCCACTCACATAGAGTCCCACTGGACTACTAACCACAGGTGAGTGGTTCATACCTGCCCAGGCTCCTCTGACGCCACACCTAGAAATCTGCTTCCCAAAGGCCCTGTGGGACAGCAGTCCTACTCCGCACACGTGGGGCACCGAGTGTCTGCATTGGCCGGACAGATGGCAACTCACAACCAGACCCAGCGGTGCTGCAGAAAGAGCAGCAAACCGTCCTGGTGGGATTGGCTGTCTGACCGTGACTGGTTTTTGCATGAGAAGGGGAGTGGGTGAGAAGTCCCGTGTGTGTGTTTGTGTGTGTGTGTATGCTGTGCATAGTGTGTGGTCTCCCACAAAGCCCTTAGGCTCTATGTGGCCCCCTCAATCCCCTTTCTACACTCCCCCATTCCCATGGAAGGTCAGCTAGTGGGGAGCATGCATTCTCTTGGGCCCAAGTATACTCACAGAGACCTGGGAGACCTGGACTCTGTAGAGCAGTGGGGCCACCATTAGCAAGGAGGCCTTTGTGCCC